ATGACGTCAAGAAACTGCAAACGAAAAAATCCACCATCGGTGTAAGCGAAGATATTTACCTTTCGTCTAGATAGTTGAATATAAATATGTATATCATATTGCTGTTGCTTGTATTTTATTTACAATCATCGCATCGAACACACGTATATTCGAACGAATGCTGAAGCATGAATCTTGTCTTTTCAAAAGTTCATGTTATTGCTGTCGAGTCGAATACAATATGATTCGTTCGACAATGGCACGGCCGTTCGAAGCGATTGTGTTGGATATAACCTCACTCGCAGAAAATGATAATACAAACATGACAGGAACTCAAATGTCATGAACTTGTACAAATATCTTTCTATTTATATAGGACAGTTATTACTGACTTTTGCACGTTTTATGTGCAGATTGCTTGCATTCATTGTTGTGAAAAATAAATACTTTATGTCAAAATAGGTTAATTTGACAAAAGAAAATATTTTCACAACTTTTGATACTTATTATGGGAAAAAAAACAAAATCAAAGCGAAAAAAAAAAACTAGTAACTAATCGACCAAGAAGTCTACACTAAATATTTTTTTTCATTTGTGAAGATTAAACTTAATACCATAAGGGGGAAAAAGCATACATGTGCACTTCCTCATAATTTTCTCATATGCGTACTTACTCATATGTAGTTGCGTAGAATTTGTTTGGTCAAGAGATAAAAGAGCAATATTATGAATCATTCTTTATGATACACATATGGTTCATATTAGAAAAGAAATTTAATAATTAAAAATTGGCATTTTTATAAAAGGTGCATTGTGAAATGCTATACAAGCAAAATTAATTTCTAATAATTTTTCGTTCAAAAGTTAATCGGTCTAGACATATGTATTCAATGGTGTCTTAATAACTCATAGATGATGTTGGAAAGCAGTTTTGGAAATGAACTAAGGGTTGTATCTTGATTGAGATAGGCACACTCGATTAAGACACATTGTCTACATCGATATCATGGCATACAAACTGAAATTACGATTTGTTTCTTACAAATTCCAGGTTCTGTCGAAACAGTGGAAGATCATGATGATTGAGGTGGTAGTGGAATGGTACCTTGCTGGTATTTGACGTATCCTAACTGATGAATTGTAGTAGCCTTGGAATGGCTCATCGGAAGTTTAATCAAGCAAGACTTTGTAAAATTCTTCGGTCTTATCATATTGACCTTGTTTGATCAATAATTGACATAGTCGCTGCCATCCAGTTATTCGTTGAGTTTCTCCTCGGAGTCGTGTTATGAGAGTACTAAGTTATGAATCATTAACAGCAGTGAGAGTGAGTTTCACTGGTGATTGGCGATTATTGCTGTCGATTTGTTCAATTTCACGATTGCGAAATACAATCTTCGTGAAGAAGAGAATCTTCTGTTCAGTGTCTTCATAATAACTAACTTTGTCCATTAGAGCAAAAGGTGCAGATGACATCACAGGATCAATGGTCATAGTGTTGTTGAGAACATCCACTAAATTGAGATTTACCAGTGCACAACGAGCAAAGTTTATAGAGATATTTCTTTTCTTGCTAGTAGATAAGAATTTCTTGAACGCTACTAAACCAGCTCCTATTTTGAAAAGATTATCAAAGTGTACTTTTGACAATCCTTGACCATAATAAACGGTAAATGGAACTTGATTCTCGCTCGATTGTTCTTCATGAATTTGTTCAATATGACGAGCAAGATGACAAAGATTGAAGGCCATTTTAAGAATAATATTAACTTTGAGCATTCGCAGACTACGATGTAGCATTGGATATAGGAAACATTTGTACGTGTACCACCAAATGGGAGCATGATCATGCAATTCTCGTATGAACTTGCCAATGTTTTTTAACTCTATCGAGTTGCCTACATAAAAATTACGATGACCATAGACAGCCATTTCTTCTATGTCTTTTGTGTCATTTTCATCGTCTATATCCATCAGAATCTCTTTGAGCAGTTGCGTGTACATAAAGGATAGTTCAAGTTGACCTAGATCCTCAACGATTGCTTGACTGGTACAAACAATACTGATTTAAATTGAATCTTAGTTTGATCGTCGTTTAACACGTTGTAGTGCAATACACATAGGTTCAATTTCAGTAAAAAATACTCTTTATTTTTTACTAACTGGTCGCCCAGCTTACATGATACGACTTGTTGATATTCTCACCCAACTTTCTACAAATAATCATGAATACTTGTTCATGATTGACTTGAGTGAGAAAATCAACATATTTGTCGACATTTTTAAACATATCAATCATTTTTAGCATGTATCTTAAACGACTAAGAAAATTGCAAACGCTTTCGTTCTATTTGTCGAGATCGATCTCTAACTATAACAAACGAAAATTTTGCATTGTATGAGAATTCAAGCAACAATCCACTTCTAATGCCATACTGATAGTATCAGCAGTAATAGCAACTATAGAAGAGTATGATAACTAATTGTTTACGTTCTATGAAGAATATTGTTTGTAGTCGTTGAACTAAAGTGCCAGAATAAAGAATTCTGATTGAAAATGAAGAAAAATTACTATTCTACTATAGAATGTATCATTTTTCTGAGTATCTTTCTTCATCTATCAGAATGGTTTTGTTTCTTTTTCTAGTATTCACCGATGTAGAGTGTCATTCTTTTCAGGAGTTATTGAAAGAAAGAACAAAGTCACAGAAGAAGTAAATTGTGAACGAAAAAAGGCTAAAAGAGGACACGAATCTATTATTTTTGTCGGTAATTTACTCAATGTATATATGTATGTAGTGAAAATGGTTAGTTCTTAGAGAGAGCCGAAGCTATTCATAGTCTTTTTCATTTAGATACTAATGCCGCAAGACTTCTTTAGTTTGTCATGGCTGATTTTACTTACGTTAATGAATAAAAACCGTCTTTTTACCTTGCATGCAATCCGAACAAGTTATTAAGCAGCTAAACAAGAATTCTGACTTCAGTACTAGTTCTATTCTGAGTAAGTTTTGAGTTCTTTTTACTATAGCATGACACTGCCTGACGTCTATTCTTTGAAATGAACTTGTATGAACTACAAACAAGTCGATTTCGACACCAACATATTAGCAGACACTTATAACAAGAGAAATACTGTCATTTTTAAAAAAAATTACAAAAATAAGAAGTTGATTATGATCACTAGTCATTAAAAATAGAGAAGAAACATGCAAATGAACCACGATAAATAAAGATCAAAGATATATTTTATGCTCAACGATCGATTTACATTTTGACATTTCTATGATGATGTCATAATGAAGAGAGAAAACAATGTGATAAACTTTTTGAATAGATTCATCCACATGATAACTATGTTATCTATTACTAGTAAGTGTTACTCGATAATTGTTACTTATACACGCACAATATGAAAACAAAACAAGTGAGAAAAAAATTAAAAAAAACATCAAATCAAAAGAATCAAATCTCTACTTACTTCCTTAAAAAAAATTAGATACAAAAGAAGAAAAAGCCGATATCATCAAAATGAAGAACAGGAAAAGAGCCATTCATCATTATTGACACAAAGCAAGTGTGTTGAAACTCATCCTTTATCATTAACCTTGATGGTTCTTCTCGTTTCTTTCCTCCTATATTGATACCTATTCGCCTGAATACATCGAGTATAATAAGCAAACATGGAGTGTCGGTACGGATCTAGATGTGCATGCAGGTAAATAGTTGTGGAAGCATGGAAGAATGTTCTCTTCTATTTATTCATATTCACATTAACACCCAATTTGATTGAGAAGTATGAAAATCTTTGTATACATATCAGAAGCATCACATATAATAGTATACATTGATGAAAAAAATGCTAAAAAAAAGTTTTATTTTCAACTTTTAGAATTAGATAAATAAATAGAACATTGAGAACGTGAGAAAAAACAACGATTAGCATAATTCCTGTTGAATAATAATGTGAAGGCATGAAATAACTACTTTCCTAGTAGAAGAATATGTTTAACAATGCAACTTACCATTTTTTTTTTGGATGAAATTGTTGTTTTTGTTCAGTAACTCGAAAAATATACAGTAGACTTGACTTGAAACATTATATCTGTCATGTTTAGTAAGAGAAGATAACAAAATTATTTTTACTAAGGACTTTGTTTTTATAATAGGAAAATTATTGTAAAAAAAAAGGATTTTATATAACAGTCAATCTAACTTTTATTATGCAATATTTTATTATTGAAGTCATTAAATGTTAAAAAGTTCTGATTAATAAATATTTAGTTTTATCGAAAAATGATAATATGATACAAAGTTGGTTAGTTTTGTTGAGTGTTTTAGTATTTAAACAAGAAAATGATTACATATTTAAATGTCTATTTTTTTCATAAAAAGGCTAGCATAATTTACTATCTATATAAATAAAACGGAATAAAAGAAGATTAATATGTTTTGTAGTTATTTTACGGAAGATAATAGTTTGTTTAATTGATTGACTAAAAAATTCCTCTAAAGAAAAGATGATCGGTTTATATGCAATTATCAATCAGAAATGAACTTTGCTGTACAAAATACAATCTATGCATATATATCCTATAAAATAGTCATAGTCGAACAACGAAAACACTTTTTAATAGTGTGTTAAACGAAAGAGAATTTGATCAGCTTTCATATGAAAAAATAAACAAATATTAAAAATTTCACTATCAATTCTATAACGCTTTCAATATTTTCATTTATGCCAGCTAAATCTTTTTTATTGTAATTAGGGATTTAATATTGTTATTATTGAATATACTATGTATTGTTTTTGTATGATTCTAATTCTTTTATTTGTTCTATTTGTAGAATATAATGATAGTAACGATTTTTTTTATTTTTGATTCTAAATTAACTTAACTTAAATTATAACATACATTATCGAAACAAATCTCAAACAGTTATCTCCTTATGAAATAGTTCAATGAATGAGAAATGATATGACTAAATAGGCTTTTTCTTGATCAAGATGTTTAGAATTGTTAAATTTGTTGAATAGTTTCTTTAAGAGATAACATATTTAGACATGTACTAGTTGTCTCATCATCCATTTGATTTTTCTTTGTAATTTGTGATTGTCGAATAAGACCATTTGAACTTTGAAGCATATTGAGATGCTCTCTGAATGGAGAATGCAAATTATCTGCATTATTAGCATGAATTTCCAATGTTTCAGCAGTTACGAAACATTTTCGAGCATTTTCACCATCGGAAATATTTAGATATAAACGACTCAAATCTATAAATTCTTTCAAAATATCACAAGCAAGACAAACAAGAAGATTCATTTCATCAATAAACATTTTTACACAATCTAACTAATTCATCGCTCACTTAGCTTGATAATCTATATGACCACAGAAAAGATAGAAACAATAAACATGCAAATGATTTTTAACATTTAAAGAAAATCTTCTATAGTCGAAACAGACTTGATCGGAATGATTTCTTGCTCGAAATATAGTATAAGATTATTAATAGATCTCGGTAGTAAACCATTAATCAGTTTAAAATTTATTTGAAATTTCGTTTTGAAAGATAAATATCTTCCAAAAACTCCTAGATAGATATCAAGCCAAATGCAAGAAATCCTATATCCAATAGCCATCCTTATCAATAAAAAAACAATTATTATACTTACTAAAAATAACAACATACTTGTCAGTAATTTCATTGAAATATTATTTCGAAGAAAAGAATTTTACAAACATTTCGAAGGATTTATTATGGAAACAAAATAAAATATCGATATAGCTATCAGATTTTTATAGCAACAACCCACTTGAATAGGCGATAGGGTGAGTCACGTCCACAAATCTTGTCTGGATCTTCTCTAGTTTTTTCGCTCTGCAATTCTCAAAAAAAAAACAGTCCGGACAACCTCGATGCACCTCTTATTATCAATTGTATCACACTGGCTTCTTGAAGTATTGTGCTCATCAAAATAATAAAAATGCAAAAAAAAATCATCGAATTCACTATATTTTGAATCGATTTCCATTGAGTTTTATCTTTTTCTATTGACAATTTTGCATAAATACAGAAGTGAATCATTTTAACTATTATATAAATATGACTTGATGAAGTAATACTTAGGTCGTACAAAAAGTTCTAAGAACATTAAATAGTAATATAAAGATAATGAGATATTTTCAATTTTATTTTATCAAATGTTGAGGATAGTTGCTATGATTATTTATATCAAGGTCAATTCTTTCTAACAATTTATTAAAAGTTTTTTTTTGACCTCTTTTTCTAAAAAAATTTTAGCTACCTTGGAAACTACATGAGCTAGTCATGTTTCATTTATTTAATCACTTAAACTACATTCGATAGAATTAGTTAGCCAAAAATTATATAGTATCAGGTCTGGTCAATATGTTGGGTATGACATTATATTGATGCCTTCTTCTATCATAGAATTAATAACATTGGATGAGTATGAAGTCAATGATGATCGTCAAGAAATTTTGTATATTTTGAATCTAATGTCCATGTTTGTTTCCATATTTCATTAACAAAAGGCTTCGGGCAATTTTCAATATAATAATTGTGATCTACAGTCTTGCCTTTTCTACACTCAGAATTATTTGATTTAAAGAATATGCTAAACAAAGTTTTGGTTAAAATCTGTCTTCATGAACAACAGTCTTTGACAATTCATCTTCAATAAGTCAGTTAGCATTAGAGGACTTATGACTAACCTATCTAAAATAAATCGATATCACATCACTAGTAATGTTGGAATGCAACTGACATGATCGAACAAAATTCCATAAAAATTTTTAAAACAAATGCAATATAATTAGCTCATGTAGTTTCCAAGGTAGCTAAAATTTTTTTAGAAAAAGAGGTCAAAAAAACTTTTAATAAATTGTTAGAAAGGATATAATCATAGCAACTATCCTCAACAATATGATAAAATAAAATTGAAAATATCTCATTATCTTTATATTACTATTTAATGTTCTTAGAACATTTTGTACGACCTAAGTAAACCAACACTCACAATTGGAATATAATAACTATGTCGCTTTTTCTATACTTAATTGTTGATGAAGTCTCTTAACTAAAATTAGATATTAATTCATTGAAAATGTTCGCTAAATATCATCGATAAAAATCTATTGACTGTTATGTTAATGAGTTGCTCAAGAAGACATTGAAAAAGCATACAGTGGATACAACAAGCCAAAGGAAATTTGAAATACATATTTTTTGTTTGTTTTGTTCCATTTTCGAATCCATCAATAACTAGCAAATTACGAACACTCGAAAATTGTATCCTATCACACACTTATTTTTGACTTTTCGATACTCATCAGACTTTCGAGTATTCAATGAGAGAAAATCTATCGAAATTCTCACTACTCAAGAAAAAACTCCAATATCAGAAGGATACTTTTACGTGCTTCAGTAAAACCAAACCGAGTATTAAAAAAAAACAGTTTTGACTGCAAAGTTTATTCTTGATTCGACGATCTCGTCAGAAGTATTTATGATTAGAATATTTTTCACCTTATTGTGATAATTTTCTAATCAATATTTAATCTCAACTGATAAAAGCTAAAAGCGAAATTGTCAGTATTCTTAAAGACATAGTTATCATGAATTTTTACATGTTAAACCTTTGAAAATCTTTCTAAAGATTGATTTTATACTTTATCACATATATCAGCTATTTATCAAATAAACTCTTTATATTGTCTGTTGCTTGAAAAAATGTTATTATTTTCTAAAAAAACTACGGACAAATATTAAAATAACAAACATTCTACAGAGTATTATCTTTGTATGAATTAAAAAGATGACTTTCATGAAGAATAATAATTGATATTTAGTTAAGATGTTCGAGAAAAGTGAATCATATATGCCTATATTCGAATCTTTTCCTTCGCGTATATTCATTAGGTTTCAACAACTCAAGAGTGAAATATCTATCAGACTAAACCTTTTAATGTTGATCAAATCTCGATCTTCTTAGCAACAATTGCTTGAATGATCGAAAACTACATGTTAAAATGACCTAATATCGGTTCCTCGGCCTGTCGAAACATGAGAATGTAAAGGCTCAATATAGAATTGCGGTGCCCATTGGAAGCTCAGATCGACTTATTGGAATGCCTATTGAATGATCCATTGAATGTTAATGCATATATTTATATTCATCTGAATGAAACTCTATCCCTTGTCTATCGTTTACTATTTTAACAATGATTCTACGAAATTCTGTTCTTCTTAACGAAAAAATAAAATGGATAGCTGAGTTCATCATCAAACACGTCATGTAGTTTTTTTCACCTACTTAAATTGATGAGCCGAATAATTCTTGTACATATGTAAACTAAATAATCTTTGACATGCTCCATTTTACTATACTGCATGTAATGAAAAGCTCCAAGTTTAACAAAAAAAACCATAGCTTTTGAAATTTCCAAGTATTTAAAAATATGTTAATTTTATTCTTCAGTAGACACTCAAGTTGGTTTACCAACCTTGATATACTATTGGTTTCTTTCTAACTTCTTCTAGAACATACTTTTATTTACTCATAAACTACACATTGTTCGATTTAAGATGATTGACAAAAAGTGAAATTTTCCTAAATATTTAAAGCAGCACTTTCTAAAGATACTTCTGACTAATTACGCACTATGAATCCTCAATCATGAGAATAAGATCTGTTCTTATGTACGATTCATGTAAAAAAATAGACAATGAC